TATTCTCGTCTTAGTGTAAGTTTATAAATTTTGATTCTTACTGTCAAGGAAGCACTGTGTAACTGGACATCTACTCAAGTTCTCAACCCACAATCGGTATGCGTGCCATAATTCTGGAGACGTGCATGCAACGCCGAGACCGTCTCGGAGCCTCCTGCGTAGACACGGAGGAGACACGCCGTGTTGTTGGCGTGGGGAGACTAGATGTGATAGTGTTCACTCTAAACACTTTGCATGTATAATCGGTTCGAATGGTGAGCACGAATGGCGAGTGATACCGCGTGCGACAGTGCCCAACGATACGGACGGGGCGGGGTAGTTTCATGTTTCAACTACCAGCCCACCTACCAGCCTGGCTTGATGTAAGAGGATCCTATCATCAATCTACGTCCAGAGTACTGGTGCTGATGCTGGGTCACTTCTGCGAGACACGTCGGCGAGGGCAATCGGTGTAAGTAGAGTACAGCACTGGGAACCCAGGATTGCCTGCTACCTCTTATAGCCTGCAGAAACCCCACTCAAAACGTCTCTCCCGCCCCCCCTCCCCTTCCCCCACAGACCCGACCTGACCCGAAAATGTATGCTCGGGATATAACCCGACCAACCAGACGAAGTTTTTTTTTTGTCGGGATATATTCCGACCGACCAGAGCAGAGTTTTTTTGGTCGGGATATATCCCGACCGACCCGACCATACCCAAATTTGGTCGGGACTGGTCTATGAAGAACATTTAAAGCTCCACTAGACTTGGAGGAGGAGGAGGAGGAGGAGCAGGAGGAGGATGAAAGCATCGCATTGGGGGCAGAACAAGAGTGCAAAACAGGGTACTATGTCTACGACTAATCCAAGGAAGTACGAAATGAGGACATGCAGTGATATTTTCTCGGTGCGATTGCCTGTCTTATTTGTGTGGCAGGCAGCGGCGCCACATCGTTCTGGTTGGTAACGGGGTCTCAACCCCCGGCCGGCCAGAGTGGGTAAGAAATCAGTTAGACGGTTCTCGATAGTCTAGATAGGCTGCAGGCGAAATAAACTGAAGATCCCCCTCTCTCATGGTAGTGAGAAACATATCTTCTTTATATAGGGCACCAAAATCGGGTTAGTTTCCCAGTAGCGCGGGCAATTTGCGAGCAGATTCCAGGCAAAACCATCACGCATGACGTGAACGCATCCGCTGACTAAACTATCACGGAACGGCTGCACCTGAACAGAGCCTACGGCGAATGAAGTGCGAACCGGATCAGACGAATGAGGTACTGTATTCTCACCGCGGATCTCGCATTCACTCAATACACGTTATCGATCACGTTGCCGAGACTCCTGCGCAATCACTGCTAGCAGGATTGCGTTTGTGCGAAGGTGTGTTATGCTCGGTTATCCGGGGCAGTCCCCGCAGCGGTGCAAGCGCGATAGGCGCCCGACGACATCGAGATCGCACCAAATCGCACTCGAATTCACTAACTCTTACGTATTCGCGCGTGTGTAGATGAGTGCTGAAGTTGACAAGCTGGAGTCACTCGCGCTGTTAGTTTATAAGCTTTGAAGCTTCACAGTATGTGATGAACAACAGACAGGTCCTGTCACCGTTTTCGCATCGTAGTAGTCGTTTCATACCTTCAATCACTTGGTGGGCACGACATGTGTGTCGTGAGAAGAAGGTTAACGACAACTGCCTGAGAAGCCACATACGGCAGCTTGACGAATGATGGGCTCCGCATTGCAGCTGGGAACGGAGTGGGTATACTGACATGCTCGTCTTAGGTCGCATGTAGTTAGTACTTAACAAACAAAACCCTACTTCAGTCACGTCACGGTTGTTCATGAACAGCCTGTGTGGAAGATCCGCGTTTTCGCCAACGAAACAGGAATATGAAGAAAAATGGTATTTTGAAGTTGTGTACAGTATATCAGACGCGACGGAAGAAAGGCATATATAGAGGAAGGCGCGGCGGTGCCTGGATTGGGGCCGCTCGCCGCCTCTTTTTTTGGGTTCAATCATTGATTGCATGCGACCTATCTATATCTAGATCATGGCAATATCAGCCCGCTGACCCCCCCCACCCCCCCCCCCCCCCCCGTTCCAAGGCACTGTCCAACCCGGCTTGCACCGAGCGGCCCGATGTGGCTTTCCCTGCCCCCGCCCCGGCCTGTCCCAAAAAGTAGATACACGGTAAAGGCTGAAATGGGCCTGCATGCTCGCCCGCCCCTCCCCGCCTATCCTCTCTGCCCTACGGGCTGACCCGCCCGCTGTTCCCACCTGCCTTTTGCCGCTCTGTTCGAGGGTTCTCCCGCCTCCTATCTGTACCTCCGTTGGATGGTTTACCGGCTCGGCTTGTTTGTGGGGTTTGCGTGCCTTTTGCGGCCTGGAGTCCCTGTTGCTGCCTATAAAGACGATTACCCAGACACCGTTCCTGCCGTGAGCTGTATCAGCGCGCGAAGGGACGCCTCCCTCTCTACTGATTCCCACCCCTCTATTGTCCGCTTTCCCCGTCCGCTTTCTCTCAACCTTCTTTTGACGCTTCCTACAGCCTCTTCGACAACAGCACTAACGAGCGCAAGCTCGCCGCTGAGAATCGTCTCAAGCTTTTCGTACAGTAGGTTGATGTTTTCGGCAATGGTTGGCGACGCGAAAGATTCGTCGTAACTAAAGACTGATCGATCCTCTTTCTTCATTAACTCTGAGGGCGGTGGAGGGGTTGCGGTACACTGGCGAGCCAGGTGCTCGAGGCGACCGCAGTGGTAACTATTGCGATACATTATTCCAAGAGTGGTAGGAATGAAGTCGAAGTAAAATCCGCGATGTGGGAATCAGCGAATAGGAACATGACACGAGCTTAGCGTCTTGGCGAAACTAGGATGCGAGTGTGTTGTAGCGGGGATCGTTGACGGCCGCTCACCGCCGCTTGTAACCTCCGTGAGACTGGAAAACGGAAGTCGGCGAGACCTCGCATGACGCGGTAAACGGAAGGCCGTGATATTGCGACAAGGAAAACTGTTGCTACGAAGGGTGACTTTTACTGCGTTACATCGTTGAGCTATGATGGAATTCACAGGGCCTGAGATATAGTCAGAATAGAACCCAGAGCTGTAACTGCTTGCCGAGGAGTGCGGTATACCTTGATATTGTGCGAGACGGGGCAATACGGGATCAGTGGGCAGAAAATACGAAAGACGACGGGTGATATGAAACGCTGCTATGGTGCCCTGCAGCCTCTATGTGAAAGTTGTTGCTTTGCATCCACATCCGCCCATGAGAGGTTGACAGATTTACGTCCTTTGGGAGAGAAAATAGCGCGACGCCTCATGGGTAGTACAGGTATTGGAACTAAGTTACACATTTTGGTCGCGCAATTATCCGAGCATCCTCCGCAATCCAAGATGCAGTCCGTTGATAGTCGCACTCAACGTGAATGACATACCCGTTCCGACACCCACACCCCTCTTTTCTGTCGCACTGCCGTCTTCTATTTGCTTACTAGTCGCCCGTCGAGTTCTCCGCTTGGTGATTGTGAGCTACTGGGCCAAGTATCGGAGATTTTGGAAGAACAGAATCCACCATCCCTGACAGTCCACTTCAATCAGGTGACCAGGCGGCATATACAAGCCACCCGACGGCATTTTCAGCTGATCATGAGTAGGCGAAAGGCTGGGCTCACACGCTGGACACATGCAGCGCAGGTAAAACTTGTGGCCATCCCAGGTGAATATCCAACCATCCGGATCCGCATCGCCCCCCGGTTTGTGAATTAGGTAAAGCCTGAGATCCTTGTGACCTGTCGCAATTTTGAAGATGATCTGCTCGCATTCCAACGTGAAGTAGGGATTCATCGTACTGGCGGAGAAAATTCCGTTGGGTGGCCTGTTCAAACTGGCTCTGCCAAAACACTCCACTTCGGCTTCTGAGATGACGTATGGGGCGAAATCCGAATCCTCTTCGCCCGGGGCATCGTTGACGTTCGTGATTTCAAATAGCGGGAGCATCTCAAGGCACATCATGTCTCCGGCGATGAGGCGGATTTCTAGCTCGTTCTCACCATTCTGAATTGTGCCAGCGGTCACGGCTTGGCGGACGGAAGCGATTACAGCAGAAGCTGCTTTGCCTGTGATGCTTGAGTAATCGCGTTGCACGAAATAACGCAAATTCGCGATGTCATCTTGGATCGACTTGTATTCGCGGATCCAGTCATCGGTGTTGGCATCCTGCGGATCCCGCGAAGCGTTCAATATCCCATGCAGGTGTATCCCTAAAATGGGCTTAATCCACGCCATGCAAACTCTGGATGCGTTCATCTTGTTTTCCTACTTCGCTACCGGTTAGAAAATAAGCAGACGGAGAGTGGAGAAGAAGGTGTAGGACTCACGAGAAATTGTACTTGTAATCCTTTGCTTGAGCCGACTCGCAGGGAGGTGTGAGGACTGCGATCGACAAGGACGGTTATCGAGATCTAGTGGAGTGCTGCGCGGAGCAGACGAGCGTGTAGAGAGCCCAGATGTTGTATGGAATAGTCTGCACAGCTGCGCGCCTGCGTTCTGGTCGAAGATGGAGAATGATCCTTCGAAGTGAGGGTGATGATTAGTCCGTCTGGTGCCGTGGTGCATGGAGGGAAGGGGGGTGGTAAGATGAATGCGGTAGATGAGCGACGGTGGGTGGGAATAAGGACGGAGGGTGGAGTAGAAGAAAACGTTTCAGTGAAGTCAACCTCGCTCACTGTCGCTAGTCCGGGAGTGGGGGTGAGAGCAAGATCGTGGTTGGTAATTCAAGGGCTAGGTGATAGGAGCTACCTGGCGATGCACCGAAGCAGCACGTGTGGATACCCACACGTCCCTCTGCAAAACGTGGTGATTGAGTGTGGTGTGCATCCTGAATGAAGGAGATCTGAAATTAATACCCATATTCCCTGCGCGTGATGACTTCTTTAGACATAGTCTCTTATCATATTGACCTAAACAGTACTACCACTACGTCATTCGCAACACGAGTGAGCGATGCCGGAGCACGTCCCAGCAGATCGTGCCACCTCCGCGCTACCATACTTCGCTAACACGCGGTCAAGGATATGTTTGCACTACCTCGAGCCGTGCAGCCATTCACCTTCACACAGATATGGTTACTAAATATTATTCCATCGTCGTCTTTTCCGTGTCTGAATAACTTTGCTGATTTAGCATGGAGTGCTCACGTACAGGTCTGCATGCCACAGCACACCGGTGCTCCTATAAATATGATTTTGTGCGAATAACCGGTACCATATCAGAAAAAACCCACAACAGTACACGCAATGCGGCAGTTGCCTGTTCAGCTTCCAACCATATCTTTTTATTACGTGCGGTGGAGTTTCGAAATGCGACACACAACGCGGCCTGATCAATGGGAGGGTTTCTGGAATCGCGCTTAAATAGCAATACTTATGAACTTCACTAAATGAGGTTACAGCATCAATCGTTACAACGATTATAGTTGACCGATTGGGTAACATCACATGAGTGCCTTATTTTTTCAGCCACAGATAGTAATCTAGCGACCTCCCCGCGGATGCCACGCTGTCCTGCCCTCGGATACGACACTCTCAACCCCTCTGATTCGCCCGACAAATGATACGCTGGCTTCCGGCCTACTGAACGAGTAGCGCAATGAAGGCGGTATATGACCGTGAGTAGGAAACAGCCTACATTTCTCTGGAGGAAAGAGTAGAACGCCGGGTGGCGGTAACGATGGAGGTCATTTCGAAATACTATTATCATAATGGACAGGTTTGTAACCTGCAACCCTACTCTGCTCCCTGCACGTCACGATTCACGGGAAGAGATTCGGTAGTTTTGAAGAAGAGTGATCGGAAAACAAGAAGATAAAATTAGAGTGTCAATTGCAAAAACTAATTACACAGAAAACATTGCAAAATAAAAAAGACCAAGAATCTATTCAAAACGCCTTAGATGCACCCAGCGCCTTGTGAAAATGAGGCTTCATGGTGTACTCTGAGGCATCGCCGAAAAGAAAGCCACCTTGATTTTCTTCTTCTTCATGATATTTGCGTAATGGAGGAGTGTGTTCCATGTATTTTCACTGACGGTAACCTTTTACTCCTCAAAACTACTCACTAGATGGAACATGCCACTGGTATCGACCTCAACCTTGTTCCTGAATCCGCTAGATGGGGGCGGTAAGTGCTGAGGTCTAAAGTATATCATCGCCTCCCGGACCGCGGAGTCCGCCTGCTCGTCCACTCGAAGCTCCATCATGGCGGCCTGCTGTGCATCGTCGAACGTCGTCGAAACAGGCACCTCCGTCCGTGGGGCAGTGATCTGACTCTTGGAGTACGAGCTGCCAATCGCAGCCCCTGCCAGGCGGGCATCCGCGGCGGCCCGGGGCCGCAACTCTCCAGTTACCACTGTTGTGGCAGCACTACCACCATACGTGCAGTCGGCATTATTGCCGGCAGAAGTGCTGCTGCTTCCCTGAGCAGCAACGCCACTTCCCACAGGTCCCGAAAAAGGGGACAGTCACCGCCAGCGGTGACTCTCTGCCTCGTGCCCGGAGCGTAATGCTACGATGGGCGACAGGGCTGTACTGCAAGCAGATTTGCTCCTCATCACGATCCCCAACAGGGCAGCCACGGCTTTCGGCATGACTCCCTACCCCCACAGATATGGGAGTATTGCCGCGATTAAACAAACCCGACCATCGTCTGAGTCCAAACCGCCGTCAGCGACCAAACCGTCGTCAGCGACCATATCGTCGTCAGACCTACACGGCGATTAGCGGGCCGAAGAAGTGTAATTGATCGTGTCATAAACAACTTACATATGTGCGATTGAGCTGCTCATCGCGTGTTGCGGGCGAACAAAAAGGCCAATTCGATGCCTTCCTGAGCCGAAGAAGATGAAAAAGAAGAAGAGACCAGAGTCAGAGGTTGATGACGATTGCGGATTCAGGGTTTTGGTTGCGAGCTCGAATTTGCGTGCTTTCATTTTGGATATACCTTTGCCATTTCTTTCTTCTGCTTGACATCGCCAATCATTCTCGCCACCATCTTCGCGCTGATGTTTCGGAAGTCGTCCAGCTGTTCTTCCAAGACCTTGTTGATACGGAGCGCAAGGCGTCAAGCAAAGAAAGGTGGAGTGGAGAAGGGGTTTGACTCATCACGGGCCCTAGAGGGGAAGCCACAGCTGTCGCCGTGGCCCGCTACTTCCACGGTTGTGGGAGTAGCGCCGCAAGAGCGGAAATGGATTCTGAATCCAAATCTAGGTGTAACGATGGACATCGTCCTACAGAACGATGCCATGCGCACCCCGAAGATGGTGCCGTACGGAGCCGCTGTTGCTGTTGTAGCGACGGCGCTTGTCGACACAGTACTTGCACTCCCAGTGAGGTTGGCACTTGACCGTGACAGGGCCCCCGTGCTGCCAGATGGCAGACGTCAGCCTCTGCCCGCTTGTGGTTTGCACAGGTGCCGGTTCCGGAACGGCCGGGGGAGGATCATCCGGAAGGGTCGGGAGCCTGTAATACAACAACTTGCACAAGGCGTGATTGGGCGGGCTCAATAACATCTCCAACCGAAAGTTTGCTGGCTCCCAGATGTCTGGTAGCGAGTGTTGCTTGAGTAATTCGCCCTCTCCCACGACCAAGCCTCTTCCTCATCACGGGCCCCAGAGGGGCAACCACGGCTTTGGCCGTGGCCGGCTACTCCCACAGCTGTGGGAGTAACGCCGCAAGACTGGCAATGATCACCAGCCGTATCGATGGTGAAACATCCTTCTTGTAGTACCCCACTGAACAGGCAATAGTTAGTCAAGCACCGAGAGAAATACGAATCGGTTTGGAAAATGAGGAGCTCACTTACCTCTCGAGTGTATAGCTCTCACCTCCGCGGTGGTGCAACGCAAGGCACAGTGGCACGTCGGAAAGATGCAAACTGAAAGTACCATCACTAATCAGTATAGTGAAACGATCATAACATATGCGATGGAGAACCAACGAATCATCCACGTACCGCATAATCAACGGCCCAGGAAGGCAGGCTATGGTCCAAGTAAACGTTCCAGCCGATGGAAACGCTTACATGGGGCATGGCCGCGTTTGCAACAAAGGATACACTTCAGTGCCAGTGGCGACGTACAACTCTAATGCAGAAGGTGAATTCTCCATAGAATACCTTGAATATGGTCTAGGTGATGCGTGTCAGTCACTATCCACTTGCAGATGACTGGCTGGAACAGGTTGGAACACGGCTTCCTTGCCAAGAGCGAGACATATGGGGAAGACGGTGAAAGATGTGAAGTGAAACAGGAAGGGATATGAGATGGCTTACTATTCAGTATAGGATCGGGGTTGTAACGCAATATAGTGGTGTTTTTTATGATTCGGTGTTGACGGGGAGGATGTTGATGAAGTGGCGGAAAACGAGGGTAGGGGAAAAAGAAGGTGGCGGAAAAAGAGGGTAGCGGAAAGATGAGAAGGACGGAGCAGAGGGGTGAACGAGGAAGTTCTTAGTGAAAAAGATGATGAGAGGAAGAAGTAGCAAGATTGATTGGAGGAAGAGATGAGGAAAGATGAGGATTAAGGAAAGGAAGAGGCGACGACTAGTGGCAGGAAGAGGCACCCTTTAAAGAAATTACCCGAGGAGTAATTTCGCCGACACTAGTAGGGTTATGCAACTTGTGAAGTGAGTACCGTGGAACTTTTAAGACCGTCGATTTTAGGGCACGGAATAGAATATTGGACCGTTTGGGCGGGGGAGTGAGACAAGTATCAAACCATCCGCCGCCAAACATGCGTAACACGTCACTGATTGTGTCATCGCCTATACCATGAGCGGGCGCAGTAAGCTGCTACCAGCCAGTAAGGCGTGCAAAGTTTTCCCGCACTTTAAGCAACTGATTGGACGAACGCCATCACAATCAGCGTAACACCCGGGACTGTTAAGGATGATGCGACCGCGTCCTGTTGATTTATCTTACGTGTGTATCCCATAGTAGCAATTGTAAATCTACCACGCTCTCGCTATTCGTGCGGAAAGTTCATATCTAACTGTTTCCCATCATGCTGTCGAATCCTGTTTCGCATCCACGATAATCGCGCTAACACAGATCAACCACTGTTCCCAATCGATCCCATGACTATTCCGACCGATTAGCGATCATCATCACCGTCCACCACTCGTTCGCGCAGCTACCGCGGTCCCGTGTTGTGTTGAAGACTCGAAGATGCGTTCGCTCGAGTCTGGTTAGGCTGCATGACAAATAAACTGAAGATCTATCTTTCTCTCTGAAATGTGGGAGTTGCACGCGAACTTATCAGCTGCTGCAAGCTCTTATCATGCTGCGTCCCGTCCGTGTAAATGTACGCGTAGACCCTGTTTTACGGGCAAACGGAGTGGGTGCCTGGTGCAGCATCGAAAGAGGGGATGACTTCGACATGTCCGTCAACCCCAAAGCAGGAGCAGACACAGGCAGGCTCGCCACCACCGTCTTGTACGAATATACGGGCACGATCCGGTAGTGGACCAGCTCATTAATACTGACACATAATATCAGTCTCCCAAGAGCGGCCAGTAGTGACAGGTGGAGTCAGCGAAGAGTGCGATGAGCAAACCCGTCATCACCGTGCTTGGGAATCAGGGACAGACGGAGAAAACGGTGCATCTGATCGCGGCACGAGCGCTCGATTGCGCGCTCACTAATGAAGACGAACTTCCGGACCAGCTCCACGCCAGCTGAAGGCTTGACACCCTTAGGATACTAAAGTTTCCCGGATATATGTCAGACGCAGACCCAAGCTGTCGGCGACAACAGTGTCTAGCTTGACGGCGCTGTATAGGTTATTTACGACTCCACTAGGCGGCGACAACGCCGCGTCCAATGATCTCCGACCACCGGCACAAGAAGCAGCGGTTGACAAACGTTCCGCCCTGTACAACCTGGTCAGAGGCATCATCTGGTTGCACGGACTCATCAGGATCGATGAAGAAGATGCCTCACGACATCCCATGCCCCGGCAAGAAGTAGCACCCTCCAATCCGTGCAGCATGTCGCTGCCATCCACCGGCGGCAGTCTGTGATCGCCATAGAGATTTTATGGTTTCGGACTCACAAAGTCACTCCCAGAAACGCAAAGCGCGACAAAAGATCGAAGTTTGCAGCCGACGACCTTAACGCCGGCAGTTTGCGGTGAATGGTCCCTCCACTCGTCATTCGGTGCATAACTGAGCGACAACCACCCCCTTCGCGAGCATACTTGTAAAGCGGTGTCACGGAGGCCATTGCCAAGGAAGCGGGGGCATAACTAGACCAATAGACATCTTTACGCCCGTTGCGAATGTTGTCGATATACGCCTCGCACCTGGTAGCAGCCTCGCGATTGATGCCCCTGTGGGGCTGTGCAGACAAGCTAATCTGGGCTCCTCTATGATGAACGGTGTGGGCAGGCGGTCCCGCTGGTCGCTGGGCAGGACGCCGTAAGTAAGGCGTCCGCGCGCGAGGAGGCCCGATGAAGCGGAAGAGATACAGGTGAAGAGGAGGTGAGAGAAGGATGAGGGCGGGGAGCACGCGGATCCTCCCGGTCACTCCCAGCTTTCCACATTAGACCCTCCGAATGATGTCTGCGAGTGTAGGGACAAGCAACGCGGCGGATCTTGATATAGACGTTTATTTTACTAGCTCATACTTGATCTGGTGTGCACTACATGTATCTCTGTTACCGGTGAAGACGGAGGGCGGGAAGATCTTCATCATCAATTCTCACCAAAGTCTGGCTGAACAGTGAATGTTGCGATTCTCGGGCGGAACGATCGAATGATGGACACGATCCTCACTACAACACACTCGCATCCTAGTTTCGCCAAGAAGCTAAGCGCGTGCCGTGTTTCTATTCGCTGATTCCCACATCGCGGATTTTACTTCGACTTCATTCCTACCCCTCTTGGAATGTCGCAGCGCACCTACCACAAGTGCGGGCGCGGCGGTCCACCGCCTCCCCTCCACCGCCCTCAGAGCCAATGGAGGAAGCTGATCGTTCCGGCCGTGTCTACAACGCGTCTGACCATGTCTACGACGCGTCTGATCCGTTGCTGATCGTTGCCGAAATCCATCACCTGTAGACAAACCTGTTCGCAAACCTTCAGACGATGTTTCGCCAGGAGCTTGGGCTCGTTAGCGATGGTGTCGAAGATTCAGCAGGACGCGTCAGAGAACTCGTATCCGCAGTACGAAAGACGCGACAAGAGACAAGGGACCTCAAAGCCCTTATGGAGACGATGAGTGAGAAGATCGACAAACTCACAGAGGAGAACCGGGAACTCCGGGCGCAAACACAAGCAGTGACAGCTCCACAGCCGCTTCCGCCTCCTCCATCGACACCACTTAAGCGGCCAAAACGGAACCTGACGGGACCTCAAACACCCCATCAGCCGACGAAGCAGCTGAAGAGTACCTCCCCGACATCGGTTCTCATGCAGTCGGAGCATGCCGGTGTGAGTACCGAGCCCACGCAACCACTACCGTCAACATCGGCCGCGGCCCCCAGGTCCGCACCTCTCCATGGTGAGATGGAGGAGAGATGGAAGAAAGTCGAGAGGAAGCGAAAAGGGAAAGGGGAGGGGAAGAAGAGAGGGGTGGGACTTGGAAGAGAGGGAAGTGTCTCGCCATGGGCTGATATTGCTCGCGGAAGGGGCGGCGTGCATGTGACCGTCTTCATCGGCGAGAGCAAGAACGCCAGGCGGTAAAAGGCACCCAAGCCCCATGTAAAGGATTCGGAAAACATTCGAAAGAAGGAACAGAAGGCAAGTGGGAAGAGCGGGCGAGTCAGCCCGTAGGGGAGAGAGGAGAGGTGGAGAGGGGCGGGCGGGCATGCTGGCCCATTTCAGTCTTTACCGTGTATCTACCTTTTTGGGACAGGCCGGGGCTGGGGGGCAGGGAAAGTCACATCGGGTCGCTCGATGCATGTCGATTTGGACAGTGACGTGGAAACAGGGGGGTGAACGGGGTGATATTGCTATGATCTACATAGGTCGCATGCAATTACTGAATAAACAACAAAAAAAAGATGGAATGATGGAACGACGGAATTTCATTGTTTGTCACTCGACTTGTGCAGAGTATTCGGGCAGAATATGCGGGCAGATTGGTCATGTTGGTATTACGCACGCGTCTTGAGAATCCTCTTTATTCTCATACCTGCTCTTTCTGCTTCTGTCCAGTATGTCTAGCTGGTCATCCGCTGTGTTTTTGCGAAACAGTCAAGCAATCGAACATCACACTCATATTTTCTCAACAGTGAAGAGTGGATAGGAGACGGCTGTTCTATTTTCATGATCCAGATGATACTGTGCAAGCACTCAACATTTCACAGGCAACAGTCAAAGATGGTTGGGTGGACTCGCGGATCTTGAGACGGCGTTGGGTACTCGAAAGAATGAGTAATAGTGGAGTCGAGCGCCGGATATTTACCTAATGACCGTTCACGTTCAGGGCAGCTGGTAAAAAAACGACGAACACCCTGATTACGCATCAAAAGATGCAACCGTAGAAGCGTTGGCACATTCTGGATCCGTAATTGCAGCTTTAGAGGAATATATACTCAAAATTCACAATGCGGGTCCCCTAGCCACCGTCTCCATCACCGTCGGCATGTTTTGCGCCATCGACAATAGTAGGATTCCCTTTTCCGTGTAAAACTCGGGCCTACCCACCTTTGTCCCCCTGTACCTCATCTTGACTGGCGGACCGGATATCTGTCGGTAACGTGGTGTCGCTCTCGGTGAGATATCCTTACGTAGTCCCGCCGCAGCTGATCGTGTGTCACGGGAGTATTGGATTTTCAGGTGCAGGCAGCAGTGTGATCGAACGTAACAGAAGTGCTAAAGCTAGTATCTAGCAGAGTAGATGTTAGATAGTGCATAAAAGTAATGATGGTTTTACTTCGGAGGAATGCTTACCAATACGCGTCTCGGGAATGTCGGTGGTAAGTGTGAGCGCTCCAGGAGTCACGACTACTCGCGGAAATGATTCGGTGCAAGAGTCGCAGAATCGATGGATCAAATGGATAAGGGAGATGCCTGTCACTCGAATTCCGTTAACCATCACTATCACCCCCGACGTGATTATCATCACGGGCCAACCCCAAACGACGCTCGGCTGGAAGCGATGTAATCCGGGTTCAGGGCCATGATCTAATTCCGACGAGCTAATGGATATTGGATGACCCTGAAGCTGATCCACAAACGTAACCACCTCCGTAGCACTGAGCCGTCACTCTGCCTGCGGAGGTTTGAGGTCTTTCTGTTGGCGTCGCCCGATGATCAGTGTAGGAGGTGGTTGGTTGATGCACGTATGTCCGGAGGCGGATGAGAATGGATGACGTCGGTATCTATGGTACTGTAGCGGGCGTATATGCTATCCTAGAAGGTCGTCTTAATCATAACGGAACGCATAAGAGCGAAGACACAAGACCTGAAAGGTGATGGGTACTAACAGTCATGGTTTAAGCGATCATGAATTGTCCGTCGCACTCATGTCGCGTGTTCTGAAAGCAGGTCTGGGATGCATAGGATGTATAAGTGCTTTGATAGGTGGACAATGCCGCTCGTCTACGTCGGCAGATGCAGCTTTAGGTAACGGAACCCGTTGCGCGAATATAGCTAGTCGGTGGCGATTCTGCTATCTTGCTATCGAACCGTGTGATCTGCTTGTGTTGCCGAGCTCCGACGACAGACAGCGGTAGGGAATAGGAGGCAGAAAGGTTTGCAAGACGAGGACCTAGGTTTTGGGTGAAATTATATTTGGCCGAGGAGTGAGAAATCAAAGGGCTAGAAGGGTTCAGTTGCCGATTTTGTTGGAGCCTGGCACTGGACTGCTTGGAACCGAGCGACCGCAACTTCGTCAGGTCATGACGTAACATGGTAAATGCAGTGTTTGCGATCTTGTCTTAGCTTATCCAGAGATTGCATGGCGTGAATCGGAACATGGCACAGGAGACATCAGCTGAAAATGATCGTTAATACATCTCTCCCCATGCGGTGATCGTGCAGGTTCGTATTCGTCCACTCTTGACTTAGCGCTCTATTGTTAATACTCATCGGAGCCTGCAACCACAACTAGACTGTAACGCAGAAGGCAATGTAATTAACTGTGTATGCATCTCTATTGTCAACAAACGTACTACAGATTGATCACACAGCATGCCGTTGATCAGATGCCCGAGAGGTTAACAGTCGTGGGTTGGACAAATGTCGCAACCGTGAATACACACTGTACGCATCTTCGTCTGTTGAGTAATAGCACATGACTCACCAGAATTGCGTCGGCGAAAGGCCGGCGCACCAAAAGTAATCTCATCAACCTAGTCGCTGCGAGAAAATCGCGCAAACACTCACAAGTCACGAGCATGGCATGTAATCAGTGAAGTGTTATGCCTGTTTGATAACGGATGGTTTGATGCTTTTCTCACTCCCCGTCCAAAGGGTTCAACATGCTATTCAGTACCCTAACATCGACGATCTCAAAAGTGCCACGGTAATCACCTCGAAAGTTTCATAACCCTACTAGCGTCGGCGAAATTGGTGCTCGGGATTGTTTTATAAAGGGCGCCTCTTTCTCCCACTCGTCCTCCTCTCTTCCTTTCCTTCATTCTCATATTTTCTCATCTCTTCCTCCAATCCATCCTTCTCTTTCCTCCTCCCCTCCTCTCCTTCTCTTCTCCACAATACGTTTATCCAAATCAACTTACGGTATGCACCCCTCTCTACTACAACACCAACTTGCACCTCTACACCCTGCTCACTACAACCTACACCATTTGACCCCTGTTCGCTCCACCGTTCAGCATACAGCACGTCATTGCGACACAATTGCTCAAACCACTAACAGCGCCCCAGGTACCGCAAGCACCATCCTCCAAATTATCGAGTGCAGATCAGCGCTCCGCACGCTAAGATCGTCAGATACACAGAGGAAATCGAGACCGCGGCTCACGAAGGCGCTCACCCCGACGCGATGATGAATTCAGGGTGGGTGTGGCTGCTCCCGGTGCCGAAGGAGGTCATCCGAGATTTGGAGCGCGTGACGAAGTATCGGCTAGTCGGAAAGAAGTGTTGGGAAGCGACGAGCTAATCAATGTCAACGATTCGCCATTGGATGATGGATTCGCGATCGGATCCGGCTTCGGCCGGCTACATTTCGCCACCACTAGGTGGCTCCATTTGGCACAGGCTGTGATGGCTGTGCCTCTACTTCTCTCCTGGGGTAATCCCATGATTCCGGGGCTTGATACCTCGGCTACAGAGACGTAGGTTCACTCTTCTCTATCTCTGTCAGTCTAAGGATGATACTAACTGATACTAACTGATACCGGCGTCCAGGGCCCAGTGGAGGGGTAACCTGAATGGAACGCTGCTCATGGAGAGAAGTCCGTGGCAGCGCAGCCTTTCAACGTTCGCGGAGCAGCTCTCAACAGAGTTGATTATGTGGCGAGGAGCGGAAACTTCGAGGCTAGGCGTCAAAACCGGCAACCCGTTCAACAACCACAAGGAGTACAAGGGACAATATCAGTACCTGCGCCACAGGGGCATTCAGCGTAGCATTCACATGGAGCGCCGCATGGACTCCAAGGGACACCATCACAACTACCGGCGCCACAGGGGCCTCATTCGTCATCCTCCATACCAGCACCACAGGGACTTAACGCATCATCGTCACCAGCAGCCGCCCCTCTGGAGCCCGTGATGATATGCACTCTTGCGGCGCTACTCTTACAGCTGTGGGAGGAGCGAGTAATGGCAAAAGCCGGGGCTGCCCCGCTGGGGCCCGTAATGAGGAAGAGTCTTGGTCGTGGGAGAGAGCCCATCACTCAAAGAACACTCGTTACCAGATAACTGGGAGCAGCAAACCTTCGGTTGAAGTTGTTGTTGAGTCCCCCCGACCACGTCCTGACCACGCTGGTGGACCACAGGGTTCCGACCACGATGGATCCACCCGCCACATTTTACTTCTCGTCTTTACCTCGTGCTGTTCTTACCACCACCTCCATCCACGAAGACCAAAGAAGATGTCGGCAAGCCTCTGGTACGCGTACAATCTAGTACCCCTAGTAACGAATCCCGGTCAGCGATCGCTCGCACAGCAGCGCTACGACCATGTGCTCACCAATTGGTGGCTTAGTGTGGGATTATGGAAGAGAGGACTTTATTTTACACCATGAAGCCACAGGGTGGTCCGGCTTATGCCGGCGACATGTCGCCACCCATTAGTGGCTGGGTGTGGCACGGGCATTGATGCCCGTGCCTATCCTTTTCTTGTGGGGAAAGATTTCCCCCCTAAGAATACGTCGTCCGGCTTCGGCCGGCGAAATCTCGCCACCGATCGGTTGCTGGGTGCGGCACAGGCAGTGATGCCTGTGCCTATCCCCCTCCTGTGGGGTAATCCCTATAGGAGGAGATTTTGTCCAGCTTATTCCAGCGACATCTCGCCACAAATTGGTGGCTGAGTGTTAGTACAACGCCTTCAAGACGCCAATAACTCGGCACGACTAGCTGGTGACCCACAACCACAAACATTACCCCAAGTTCTACTTCTCGTATTCGCCCTCCGTTGTTACCACCTCCTCCACCCACGAAGACCACAGACGATGTCGGCAAGCCTATGGTACGCGTACAATCTGGGACCCCCAGAGACGCTGCCGGGTCAGCGATCGCCCGGACAGCAGCTCTACGACTACGTCCTGGCCAATCATATAGACGTCCCCTGGGTCCATCATTTCATTGATGGGCAGAATACCGCTACGCAAGCCCCCTAGCGGGCCATGCTTGAGGACACTAGGTATGTACAGACAAGTAACCGTCGCCCGGACGGCGCAAAGCTAACGCACATCTATAGCAACCACTTCCATATCACCGCGCGGTTCTCGCCGGTTGAAGTGGATGTTCACCGGACGATCATCACCACCTTCATTCACCGGACTTCCGGTTCGCGCCGGACGCATCTCGCCACCAATTGGTGGCTGGGTGCGGCATAGGCAGTGATGCCTCTGCCTATCCCCCTCTTGTGGGAAATCTCCACAGGAGGAGAAGTCGTCCGTCTTATGCCGGCGACATCTCGCCACTAATTTGTGGCTTGGTGTGGCACGGGCATTGATGCCCGTGCCTTTTCTCTTCTAGTGGGGAAAGATTTCCCCACTAGGGAGGATGTCGTCCGGGTCGGCCCGGACACATCCTGCCACCGGTTGATGGCTGGGTAGGCTCCATACCCATCAGGCTTTAACCGCCAAGGTGAAATACTGGTGGGTCCGAGAGAGCGAGTTCCCCTTCACCTAGCGGGTGGTAAAGGGCAATGCAACCCGAAGATTTCGTGTTCGGGAACATGGAGCCCCGACTGCAAAGAGGTAGGTTCACTGTTGACCATCACACACCTATAGAGAATGTTACTGACTGATACGTAATCCAGGGCCCAAAGGATGGGCGAATATGGTGACGTCTGTAGGTTCGACCCGCATGCGGCTATGGCTCATAGCTTCGGACGCCTCCACTTACATGATCTGCCTTTTGTTTATCTCCACACGTTTATATACGCTCTTCGTCTATTATATTCTGCTTTTTGTTTTGTTTAGTTGTTAATTGCAATCGATGTGTCTTCTTTTAGGTTCTGGTTTTCCGAATATGCTTCTCTGAAGCGGCCGAATCTCTTTCTGTGACTTTCGGCTAAACTATGCGTGCGCAGTGGGCTCAACATACCCATCATGCGTAATGATTTGCAGAGCCACAACTTGTTGCCATTCCGCCTCCATGAGCCACAATGCTTACTTCAGCCCATACTTTAGCCGAGAAACGGCGGAAAAAGCAACACTCATTTGTGCGTACTCTACAGTAAACACCCCGGTGAGTCGCCTACACGGTTAACCCGGCTGGTGAAGCTAGATGGCGGCGACTCCTTGATGTTAGGCTAAGGGTGTCGAGCGGAAAGGGTGTGCCATGTGGGCGGTAGGAAATATAGGAGTTACGTATGCACTCGAGTGATCTGATGGCTGCTTCTCTCCGTTTCGTGCCGCCCGGTTCGGCGCGATTAATCAACGCGCAATGTACCCACTTCATGAGTGCCTGTGGGTTGGTATGCAGCGGAGACCAAATATTCCGCCCCATACGCGGTGTACAGCGACTATCCTCCACAGTGCTACGGTTCCTACATGATAGTGCCTACTACTCCCTACTCGAATTTAACGGCAGACGATGATCGCTGAGATTCCATGGGACGGCGGGCCTGTATTCCCCCGGACTCTAGGGATCCGGGCGGGTTCATCGCCGCACAGAAGCTGGGAGCCCGGACATAAACTCCCTTAAACGGCAGCTGTTTGTTTGGTGTCGATCAAAAAGCGAAAACACCATTGTCGCGCATGCAGGTGCAGTGAGGACAATGGATCGCAAGTGAACGGAATGACAATGATACAACAGAGACCCAAGCTTTCGCTGATTAATAACGACGAGTTTTATTGCTCTCGACGTCGCACGGCGCCCACACTATGCATACTTCCCAAACGTAGCCTCCCTGACCCGCAGAGTGGTCGGCCTGGGGGTATACGGCAGCCTAACCGTAAGTTTTTTCGTTTCTTACCGGTATAAAACAAGGCTTAAGCACACGGCAGTGAAGATCCTGACCATGCAGATCCCGGAACACTATGGGATAAAGCAAAATCTTATCCGGACTCCGAAGCCGGAACTTTAGTAGCCGATGCGGTCACAATAGTCCTCCCGCAATAAATAAATTCTCCTTGCCCGCTGTCACCCGGGGTACGTATAGTAATGGCTCGGAGATTATGTTGTTTTAGTTTTCGTACTCCGCATTGGAGTTTTCCAGGCGCCATTCGAGCACTCAGGCTACGTCTAACGCTGCGGGATATCGAAGTCGCTTACTCGTAGCGGAACACGATTGTATCACTGACCCAGAAGCCGCGACGGAAAGAAAGGTCTCTCCTGCTGCCGAGCTGTCATCGTGAGGATAATCGTGTAAGACCCGCCGATCCCTCCACTTGCCCGGTATGGGAAGGTGCACTCGATGGGTCGTGTTTGCAGTATATTGTTCCCGGCATATTGACTTGCATCATGCCACGCAGAAGCCCGAAGTTCCCGGTCTGATGGTCCTGTGGATAGTGTACCTCAATGACTTCCTCGCGAGGTATCTCTAAGTGAGGCCGGACGCGCGGTGAACCCGGAGTTGGGATGTCTGCTGAACCTGTCCATCTCAGTTCCAAACATCAGTTATTTTCTAGGTGCATGGTGAATCCCACGACGTTTAGGAGAAGAGGAGTTCGCGTAAATCGCTGCAGGTTTGCTTAGGGTGCTGACGGCTCCAACGAAGAGCTTCGCGGGTGTGACGATGGCCCTCGTCGTCGCCAGATTTGATATCTTAAGATGCGCGATGCGAAACGATATTGCAGGCGAAATCGGAGCAGTTTGAGCGATCTCGCGGAGGCGATCTCGGAGGTGGACTGCGACATCTCGTCGTAGTGTTCGTTGTTCGAGTGGTTGAAGTCGTTACTGGTAAACTGGTTGTGTCTGCGGCTTAGCCGGGAACGAAAAACTCTTGCGGCGTGGTTCGCCACAGTCTATGATGTTTCACGTACCCATCGTCGACTCGCGCGTGAATAACACCAGGCCTCCCTCCCCGCGGGTACTGAAGTCTCCCCGAAACGTCTCGCCGATATTAGCAGTACATTTATGTCTTCCCTATACCTGATCGTCACTGCGGGGCTACTATCTGATGTCCGGGGTGCGTGGACCTGCAGCAACCCGACCTCGCTATCCGCGATGACTGCACCCAACATTTTCGGTGTTGTTCCCACCGCTTCCGGGAACCCATCACGTTTCGCTATAGCAACTTCGGAATTTACTCTTCACCGCCGAGACGATCCCCGTATCCTACACACTACATTCATCAACGAGCGGCTCCTTCGCCCGTCAAGCCGCTGGATCCCTCCGCCGCATCTCGCGCCGCTGCTCCGTCGTACCGCTCCCTTGACAGAAACGAACGGTCCGTGATTAACGTCAATATCGGCACCGGAAATGGGGCGGCTCATTGGTGATGTGGCAGGTCCCGTGATGGCGATCCTGGTGCACTACGGTGATAGGAAGGCTACGAAAGGTCAATGCTAAAGTGCTATGGAGAACTGTCGAGAGGTTTCATGATGATGGTCTGCTAGACTTCAGCAGCTCACTGAGGAGGTATATAACCCCCCGCACTGCTACTTAGTTTTCTATCCTTACCAACCCAACAGTCCTTCATTCACCGGTATCATCCTCACGATCATTCAGCGTCCTTTACATCTTCCACTCTCCAACATGTTCAACAAGATCGGCCTCCTCTCTTTGGCCCTTGCCACCGTCGTCTACGGCCAGCAAGTCGGCACTCTCACCGCCGAGAGCCATCCCTCGCTCAAGGCGCAGAAGTGTACTTCCGCCGGCTGCACCACTGAGTCCACCTCAGTCGTCCTGGACGCCAACTGGCGCTGGCTGCATACCACCTCCGGTTCCACCAACTGCTACACTGGCAACACCTGGGACACGTCTCTTTGTCCTGACGGTGCCACTTGCGCCGCGAACTGCGCTCTCGACGGTGCCGACTACTCCGGAACCTATGGTATCAGCTCCACCGGCACCGCGCTCACGCTAAAGTTCGTCACTAAGGGAACCTACTCGACCAACATCGGATCCCGCGTCTACCTCCTCGAGAGCGACACAAAGTACAAGCTGTTCAAGCTCAAGAACCAGGAGTTCACCTTCGATGTCGATGTGTCCAACTTGCCCTGCGGACTTAACGGCGCGCTCTACTTCTCGGAGATGAAGGCTGATGGAGGCTTGGCGGACTACCCCACCAACAAGGCCGGTGCCAAGTACGGAACCGGTTACTGCGATGCCCAATGCCCCCATGACATCAAGTTCATCAACGGAGAGGTAAGTCATATTCACGTTCTACTCCGGGCCTACAATTACTAATTATCCTCGCCGACAGGCAAACGTGGAAGGCTGGGAGCCCTCCGACAACGACGCCAACGCCGGCTCGGGCACCTACGGATCCTGCTGCAACGAGATGGACATCTGGGAGGCGAACAGCATGGCCGCGGCCTACACCCCGCATGGGTGCACGAAGTCCGGCCCCTACCGCTGCGAGGGCACTGAGTGCGGCGACGGCGACGAGCGCTACTCGGGAGTCTGCGACAAGGACGGGTGCGACTTTAACAGCTACCGCATGGGCGACACGACCTTCCTCGGCAAGGGCAAGACTGTCGACACCTCCTCGAAGTTCACCGTTATCACCCAGTTCATCACCGCCGACAACACCACCACTGGCGACCTTGTGGAGATCCGCCGCGTCTACGTCCAGGGCGGCAAGGTGATCCAGAACTCGAAGGTCACCCTCGCGGGCATGGAGCCGTACGACTCGGTGACCGAGGACTTCTGCGCGGACCAGAAGACGCTCTTCGGCGACACCAACGACTTCGCGGTCAAGGGCGGACTGGAGACCATGGGCAAGGCGCTCGAGAACGGCATGGTCCTCGCCCTGTCCATCTGGGACGACCACGCGGCAAACATGCTCTGGCTCGACTCCAACTACCCTCTCGACAAAGACGCCAGCGAGCCCGGTGTTGCCCGTGGCGCCTGTGGAACCGACACCGGCGTTCCTGAGGACGTCGAGAGCGCCTCCCCCAACGCCTCCGTCACCTTCTCCAACATCAAGTACGGTGACATCGGCTCAACCTACGCCAGCACCTAAATCGTTGGATAGGAAAGTTACTGGTGGGCGAGGCGTGGAGAGAAGGGTCGGGCTGGGCTCGGGCTGTATGATGATTTCGTTTGTCTGTAGTTCTTTACATTCGTCTGGGAGGTTTTGAAAGGAGGAAAAATGTATACCAGCTGGAATTACTTGTGCGAGCATGCATTGAACCTTCCGTGACGGTGACAGTGCGAGTGTTATCGACTGCGACGTGATGAATCTATACCGAAGCTACGGGGCACACTTTGGCCGTTTAGATATTGCTAATAATCAACACAGTCCAACCGGGAGCTATCACTGCCCGCATTGCAGCCGTATCCCATGAAAGCCCATATCATAGCAGTGATTTCACCTGAGCGACAAACAGAGGAAATGAACACAGCTCCCAAGCATAAGCTTCAGGTAGCACACTTGAATTAAAGTAGTTTTCACGGGATATTGTTCTGAAAATTGACAAACCCTCCGAGTCATGGCCAGAGAGGTGTGGAATAAAGTGTTTCGATTAGTCGGCTCACCGTTGAGCACTCGCTTTTTTTTTTCCGAAGCTTAGCGTTTGATTGGACACACGTCGCAACCCTCATAGATCGCAAGTAATTACTGATTAAACAGGAGAAAATGCGCCGCAGCGCATATCAACAGTCATAGGACCGCACGTAACAATGAATTCATGCTCTCTCTATCTCTCACGTCCTAGCCATTTGTCCAATATAGGAGTATAAAATCTTGATTATCTTCTGTCTTCTGCAGCGGCAGAAGTTCCTCAGTATACATGCGCTATGTAGACGGCCTCTATGCTCGTCCTGTCGGCGGGCTGCTCGTATACCACATCACGCTCAGAGCGCCAAACACGACTCGGACGCCTCTGGCCCGGTTGCCAGTTTTCCGGCACCAGATATGACTCGGACAAGTTCTAGCGCCACCCCCGGCGAGAGCTACTCCCGCGCCAGGAGTCCCCCAGAGCGATCGGAGGTTTACCTCAGACACCTTTCTATCTTATCACGTTATTGGGGTTAAACCGGATAGCCTTCGGTTCGTGAAAAATAGAGCAATCGAGCCGTTGTCTAAGATGCAGCCACAAAGAACTCTACACGGTGATACACATGATCCCGGATGTTGAACAAAAGGAGCATTAGCCATTACTCCGGTACCAATGCCTAGCTTCGTGAAGTTAATACAGGCCGACTGTCCCATATCACGAATTTCTGTGGACAGCGTCGCTTCCGTGTGTTGCGTCATGGGCAATCACTCGCTGCGTCGAGATCTTTCCGTTTTCCGTTCTCACGGAGGTGGTGAGCAGCCTCTATCCGAGGAACCTCCGCGCCTCCCTCTACATATATCTTTTTTTTTCCGCTCTGTCTGATACACTATACACTACTTCAGAATACCACTTTTCTTAACAGGTCTGCCGATCGTGGGTGTGAGTGATCAACTGTGATATAACCCCAGCGACCGACCAAAGTCTGGCCGATTAGTAGCGTAAGGAACACAATTCTTCTTGTTCGCTCGCGACGGTGGCTTTGAGTGAGTGTGGGCCGTAAATCGGGTTGATTAGTAGCTGAACGACCACTCTTGTGTTGGTTGTTTAAAATAGTGACTTCGGGTGAGCGAGGAGCCTTAATTTTGTCGATCAACAGGTGAACGAACATAAAATGGCTCAGTGTGGG